ATCTGTCTTAATAAGAACTAGCAAGAGATCAAATCTCACCTGCACGAGAGTGACAGGCACTCTTCGACCATCTTTCAACCACAAAGCTGACATTCCAAGTTTTATACCAATCGCTCCCACGCGCTTTGACCCACTTGTCCAAGCCACTTTGCTGGGATCAACTTTGATACGTTTATTTCTTTGTCGCCGTCCTTGTCTCTTCAACTCTAGTTCAAGATCTTCTCTAGATAAAATATTCAAGTCTTCTTTCCCCTCAGTCAATAAATTTTCGTTACTTGCGAATACTTCGAATAGATTTCTGGGTGCAAATGGAGCAGCGGTTGAAGACTCTGTTATTTTTCCAGTATAGGAATTGTTTTTCTCAGAGCAGAAATATCTGCTACAAAGTGAAAGCGAACGGCACACATTCGAGTTTCTTATGAGGAGGGCATACCAAGAATGATTGCTTAAAATGTTAAATGAAGTTAGCTTTGCACGAACCGTGGTGGCCGCCATTTTAATACAGTCTTATTCCCAGTCTTCTCTCTGCACAGGTAGCCCAAGCTAGGCATTTGTGTACTTTTTAGAAGTATTTAAAATATAATAAAAATAAAATCTCTACCTGTGTATTGTGTTTTTCTTTACATTTCTGTGAAGTTTCAGGCTATTTACTTACAATTTTAAACGATTTATGGCTGTTGTTCTCCCCTCTTCTTAGGACGCTGGAGAACAACAGCCATAACTCAACAATGAAGGAATTAGCCTGCAACTTCACAGAAATGTAAAGAAAAACACAATATATTGTAGAGATGTTTATTTTTATTATATTTTAAATATTTCTAAAAAGTACACAAATCCTAGCTTGGGCTACCTGTGCTCTTTGTAGTGGCGACACTCGAAACCGACCCCACGTACGTCTGGTCGACCAGACACTCGACCATCCGACCAGAGAGAAAACTGAACTTGGAAATCATGAAGTACTACGTTTTTTTAGACAATGTGGTAATGATGAAATATTGAAATACAACTTACAATTTATTGGAAAATTTTCTGCAATTGACGTTGTAAAAATCTATTAAGAGGAAATCAAGCAAATTGACTGTCCTCTACATGTATGATAGATTTAAAAGAGTAGATAAATTTGCGTCTCAAAAGCGCAGAACTTGATGAAAGTCAGCAAAAGTTGCCGACGACTTGAACTTATCAAAAGAAGCTAATAGTAGATCAAATTTCGCCGGACCCGCCGGACCTACAAACTTAACGTTTCCATGGMTACCAGTGGTGGTGGAGCGCGCGCTCAACATGGCTGTATGCCGTCAAGTCGAGTGAGAGAACCTATCCGCAGAGTCCTATCCGTGAATAACATTTATCTCGATTTTACTATTCTAARATTTCAGCTAAGACTTCAAATGTCCGTTGGTATAATTTTTTGAAAGTATTGTTTGACTTTTTATTGAAGAAAAGCCGAATTCAGTACCCGTCGCAGTCAGCGTTCGGAATTCTGTCAAGACTGAACTGAAAACTAATAAGCATTTCAGATGAAGGACGCAACTCAAACGATAGAGGTAAGACATTTGAATGCTTTAATTAATCTTTTGAAGRATTGGATTGAAGTCTAGCTGTTTCGTGTGTGCGGTTAGCCACTAGCGAAAGCCTACAATGTAGCTTCAAAGAGCAGTTCAAAGTGTGATTCGATCTGCACTGGAATATTACTAGTGTAATGAGATGGGACAAATTGCCATCAATTATGGAAATAGGCTTGCAATTTCATGTTGTTTTTACTCTAAATTAACGCGCAGCCAATATTTATATACAACACTTCCTTTTGATAGTTTGTTTTCATCAGTTTTTGAATTCCTTTTGTTCTGTTCTGAAAAACAGTGCAGTTGATACGGCTACATGTAAGCTGAAASATAGCAGTCAAGTTTGAAGAGTCTGAATAAAGTTATTTGAACTCATTTTCGGTCTTTKTATTGCTTTCTGTGAGATAAATCAAAGTATCTATTTGACATCAACAATTAACAATAAAACGTTCTCTGTTYAGGAGTGGACTGATGGTTCCTTTGTTGACAATTAAACTGCGTTAAACATAGATTCTCATTTCATATGYATATTATTTGAGAAAGAAACCTATTTATAATTTGGCCTTTATCTAAAATCAAAACAAATATCTCTTATACAAAGCAACAATCTAAAAGAATTAAAGATCAAGAAGAAGATACGTTTTTATAAACCATAAACAATCTGTGTCCAAGGGAAACAACATACAATTCAAGTCATGTTGACATTGTGTCTCTTAAAGTGCCCTGTAAGAGTATGCACTGTTTGCAAAAATTAATCCAAAACCTTAATCTGGCAGCGTCTTGGTTTTAGACGTTGTTTACAATGATATGAGTAATAGCATTAAATTAAGCTATGTGTATTTTTWCACAGATGAATATCAATCATAAATATCCCAAAAAGCTATTTGCTGTCCCTTATTTGCTGTCCCAAAATGAATTAGCCTTTGTCTTCATGGGGAAGGTTGAGTTAAAAGTGGTCTATCTTGTTAGTAGGTTTTTCCTTAAGTCCACAGAAATTATTATTTATAACAGACACCATCTCATGTCCTAAGACTGTTGCGACCTTTGTGCATTGGTGTTTCTATGGAAACAAACAATGACTTTTTTAGAGTAGCATATACTAGATTAGGACAGATAAAGTGCTGTTTAGCTACATAATTATCGTGAATTCTTGAAATATGCTTCTCCATTAATGTGTTAATTGAAACCAAGGTTTTTCCAGAGTGTCTGCAATCATGGAAATCTCATTCTGAAATGAGAATATATTATTGTGTTGACATACAACTAGATGCATAGCTGCATGCGTGAACTCCGGGTTCTTGTTGATAAAAAGTTTAACTCGGGATTCCTTTGGAACCCTGAGTAATAATCCATGAAAGGGCATAGAGCTCCTTTGCAGCATCATACTAACTATAGCAGCGAGCTATACCAAAAAAACTTTGATACTAACTTTAACTGCACCTTTTGCTTTAAACACCATGTT